TACATTAGATATTTTATTTATAATATATAATGGTAAAGATGTACCAAGGTTGTTTTTTCCAAGGTAAAGTTAATTTTCAAGTTAACTTTCAATTTATGCATCATCATCAATAATAATATAGTAATATATATTTTTATTAATATTTAAATTTTATTATTTTAAAAAAAAAAGTATGGTAATAATTTTATCATCATCAGCGGTGAATTTTTTTGTGGCAATGTTTGTTTTTTTAAGAGAATTTTATAGCAATACAAAATTTTATATGTATAGTAAAGACAATAAGTTTATAACGATACTATTTATGATATTTGGATATGTTGATTTAGTTTCTTTAGAATTATTCGATTCTAAATCAGCAAATCAGAAAATTTTTCAGGCTAACTTTACACCAATAGCAAAAAATTTAATTTATATTGGAAGTTTAATTGGTTTGATGATTGAAGATGCAGCTCAATTGACTATTCAGGTAATAATATTGGCATTTACAATTATTTAAATATATATTACATTAATTAATTATAATTATTATTATATATATAGATAATCTATTTAATGAATGTAGTAATATATAAATTTGTACCATTGTTAACTATTACAACGTGTTCATTAATAATATTGACAAACGTTATAGGTAAAACATATGATTGTATTCGTAGTATTAGAAAAAGATCGTGGTATAGACCACAATCCAATCAAGTTGGTGATTATAATAATAATAATAATTCAGGCAAAAATTATTTGGTTGAAGGGCAAGAAGCTGAACAACTGTTTACTAGATGGTGGGAAATTGGTAATGATAATAATAGTTACAATAGTAATATTGGTGGTAGTAATGGAATTAACAAGAATTTTCAAATTAAAGGAATATTAAAGAATAATAATAATAACAATAATGATTGTGTTGTACATGGAGTAAATTTTAACTTTGAAGATTCTGCAGTGGCGACAACAAATTCTCAGATTGATGATGGGGCTGGAACAATGTTCGTTAAACATCAAAATTATAGTAAAATTGATATTAAAGATAAAAATGATGAGGATGAGGATGAGGACAAGGACAAGGAGGGTGAGGATGAGGATAATGAAGACAGGGAGGATGAATATGAGGATAATGAGGATGGGGATGGAGACGAGTATGAGGACGAGTATGAGGACGAGTATGATGATGATGATGATGATGATGATGAGAACGATAATAGTATTATTATAATAAATAAAATTAATGACAATGGTATATAACTAGAAATATTTAATATACTTTATTATAACAGTGACTTTCATCATTGGTGTAACTTAAAATATATAAACTTATATATATATATTTGTGGGCTTTCCATTTACCTAATCTACATAATTTACATAATAATCCAAAATTCAAATTGAGATTTAAAAAATAACAATAATTTTTATTTTTGAAATAAATAAATTAGGAATATGTCATTTTAGATATGCATGATTTTTTTTATTTAATAAAGTTTTTTTTATTTAAAAAAAATTTTTTTTTCTCATTTACAGTAGTCTAAAGAAAAGATCTGATATATATAAAAACACATTAACATCCGATGTGTTCATAAAGAACAAATGTATTATCACAATGGCCATATATTTTAAATCATTAGATATTAATATTACTATATATTCTAACTCTTTATGATATATATATTGCAATTCGCAAACACGCCCCGCCCGATTTTAGCTTCTCCGTGAGGAACAAGAACCAATATAAATTTGTACATATATAAATAGACATAACGTATAAATAGATATTCGTTAGTAGTGAAAGTATAATAACAAATCGTAGCAGCAAAATGTTTAAACCAAGTTATCAAAATATTCTCATTCGAAGATTGTCCTCAAAAGTAACTATCTTCCAAAGAAACTAACTGACCTACAAAATGTCCCTACCGTTGTCCTATATACAATGAATATTATTTTGAATACTGATAAAAACTTGTAAGAAATTAATTATTTTCTATATAATTTATGTATCCGCTGCTATATATTATATATATTAATATATTTTTTTCGATGTCATCCATCATAATGTTATTTTTTTATTAACGTTTGCCGTGTCACGATCTCCTTCCAAAACCCACAAGTCGTGCGACTTTCGTGCAGGTTTCTCGTTGATTGTCTCCTTTGCGTCTAGCCGCGCCTGGTCTTTTCGGTTCTTGGCGCGATCAACGTTTTAGACAAAAGAGAACAAGAATTGAGGAACCTCGGCCGGCCAAATGGACCAGCTTGGTCCATAACGGAGTCTTTTTTCCTCTGGAGTACCACTGAATTGTCAAAACAATATGAAGACAATATGACAATTGCACTGAGTACATCAAAAAGCAATTACATAGACCCACGTATTTCTTTTGCGTGGTCTAAAAAGTATGAAATACCAATTGATAAGGTTTTTAACAAAAGCCTTCAGGAGAAATTCCAATGGGCATTAGATGTTGATGCAGATTGATAGGAATTTTTTTTTATTTTCTTGGAATAATTTAGATTTGTGGTAGTAAAGGATTTTATTATATTAATTTTAGATTATAACTATGAAAACTACAAATTTATATACTAAAGTTTAAATAGAATTATCAATTTTAAAATCATTTGTTTTTTGTAAAATTCCAAATTATATTTTTCAATTATTATTATTAATAGATTTTTTTCTCTGTCTTGCTGAATATCCTTTCTAGGAAAACAGCTTTCTATTAGATGTGTATATAAAATAAAATAAATTTTTTTGAATTATAATAACTTATAATCAATTTGTTTATCTTTCACAAAGCTCACTAATATTATATTTACCATAAAATAAAAAAACTACAATCAATAATAAATTATTTATTTTCCACTTCCAATTCTCCTCAAATAATGACATTGTTATTATTAATAAGTGCTGCAAATAAAACAAATAAAATATTAATATACATAAATCAATTTTATATTCTCAAAGAAAAAATGAAATTGTTAATAAATATTAACTATTATGTTTACAATTATTTTTATCTTTGTTATCAGCATTAATGTTATCATCGCCAATCAATGAAACTACTACTACATTAAATAATAATGGAAAATACTTTAACAAAATTAAAATTATTATAATTATTATTAAATTAAAAAAAAAAGTGATTACTGACACCCATAAAGTTGTAATATTGATCAATAAAGTATAATTTGATTATAAAACAAAATTTAAATAATCCTATTTATATTTAATATTAACACTTACTACACATTAATATTGTTTCATTCCCCCTTCCATATTATTAATAGATTGTCATGCTTCATTATTTTCAGATTCTATATTTAATAATAATAAAATTTGATTTAATTTATTAATTTATTAATTTATTAAATTGATGATAATTAATAATATTAAATCCAATATATTAAAATATTTTTCTTTGTAACCTTTTGAGTAGAAACTCCAATTAAATCTTGTGTTTTCATATTGTCTAATAATTATCAATATAAGCAAAAGCTAAACTATTGGTAAAACAATAATGCAAAAAAAATTCTTTGCTTTTAACCCCCCAAAGAAACTCACACAACCCATATATTCTCTGAAAGCTCTCAATGTATTTTAATTTAATCATTACATTCCTAAATATATATAATATATATTAATTGAAAATATAAAAATTGATACAAAAGTAAATATTGTATATTATAGAAAAAACATATTGCTATTACCATTACTGTCTTCAATATACACAATTGTTTTTTTGTGAATCTCCCTAAAACTTATTAACCAACACTTTGTAAAATATACTTTATCAATTATTCAATAGGTGGGATTGGTGTTTATTTGATGTAAAAATGAAATGCCATGTTAATATAAGTATTAAATAGATTTTTCAAAATTAATAGTTCTTTGCCTATTACTATTACCATATATTTTTGTATCTCACTAAGTACTTGATCAAATTGAGTGATCTTAGATTCAAAAGAATTCTATTTTCAAAAATTATTTATAGCAATGTTATTTAATATTGATTTTAAATCACAATTCATTGACATGTTTTGATAATCTAATTATTCTAATTGTTATTATTTATGTAGGAATAAATGTAAAAGAAAAATTTTAATTTATTGTTAAAATAAATGATTTGACATACCTAGCTAAGTGAACAAAACTAAGTATTCATAATAATGTAATTATTTGGACATATATTTCTACTTTTGCTTGCATTTGGACGCGCTAAACAAATTTCTATATAAAGGCAAAATTTGACTTTGAGGGTCAGATTATTTTTGGTTTTATTAACAAATTTTCCTTAAAGCAGATACATATAATAAAGAGGCTATATATTAGATTTGGTGGTGGTTGCTACATAGTGAAGGAGAGTATCAAGCAAGGATGTAAGCTATTCGATTATAAAATTTTTTACTATGTAAATTCGAATTTTACTATCATCTACTATAGAACTGTGGTGGCTATTTAATTCCAGTAATTTTTTTCAATAGAAATAATAAATAACGTTTATATAATATCAATTTTTGGAGAAATTGAAGGTTCTTTCATTGATGATGGTGATGTTGATTTGAAAACCTTTGTTGTATTTTTTGAAATCAGTGACAAATTCTTTTTTAAAAATTTTATTTTTCAAAAATATAAATAAAATACCATTAAAAACAAACGTTTAACTTCATTTTCTATACTTGATAATATCTTGTTTCTTTCTTTGCATTATTTGATGTATTAATTTCCTCTTTACTTTTGCTATTACTTGCATAGGTAATTGACAGTTTAAATAAATACAACAATAGAGGAAATTCTTGCAAGTAAATCAAACCTAATATTATAAATAATAATACTTTAGCTTTAAATAACTCTAATTTTTCCATTATTTTATTATAAAATCCTAAAATTGCTTTCACCGATAAATTGTTGATTTTATTATTATAATAATTGTTATCATCACTGCCATTATTTTTCACCTTTATAAAAAAATTGATTTTTTGAAGTTTATTTGTAAAGGAAAATGAACAAATAATTCGAATTAATATTAATAATATACAGGATTCCCTTCCATTAAATTATTGAAAAAATCTTATATACACGTTATATGAAATTCGACTGCGCCACATAAAATCGTAAACATATATTAATATCCGAACGAATCAATGAAATTCGAACCAATTCGAATCGAATCGAATCACTTAATTTTTGATTCGTTTCATTCAATTCGAATTCGAATCGAATCCGAATTGTACTTTGATTCGATTCGATTAGATTAGAACTGATTCGAACGGATTCGAATTCGGATTGATTTGATTTGATTCGAATATATAATTTGATTCAGTTCGAATTGATTCGAATATATAATTCGATTTGAACTGATTTGATTTGATTCAAACTGACTGGTTCGAATCTATAATAATAACTGATTTGAATCCATGATTTGAATCAAATACACTATATATAATAAATGAAAAATCTTCATTTTAATGTATATTTTATAGTTTTATTTACAAAAATATTTTTTATTTTATATTTATTTATATAGTATAAATATTGTAAAAAAATTTTACTTGGAGCAATAATTGCATCTTGCCTTTCCATCTATGGTTGTAAAATGATTCCGCGCAATGCTTCTTGTTCTTCTTGTTGAAGAAATCGAAGAAGTTGAAGAAGCATCAGTAATATTAATACTTATTATTTTAGATTTAATGAATTGACAACTGTAAATCGTGTTATTTTTTTTACTCATTATTAATAATATAGGTCACACGACCATTAACATTAATATTAAGAAATCCGTTATTATTAAAAATTCGAATAAATATCATACCAAGAAGAATTTTATTATCATTAAACCATTCTTAGACCTCAATCCATTAGTATTCATTAAATTGAGGTACACTAATTGAGATTCACTGTGTAATATAAATTTAAATTATCAAATTAAAAATATAAAAAAATTTTAGGAATCCAGTTTGATTCGAATCAATTCGAATCCTGTTTTTTTGAATTCGAATCGAATTGAATTGAATCACTCTCGATTGGAGCCTTAATGGTATAATGCAGTACATAACCATCTAAAAATTACAATTCTATTTTATATTTTTTTATATATTAATACTGCCTTCAGAAATGTTCAATGCTAATTCAAGGTCCTCTCTCATTAATGTTATTCGTTTAGCATGGGTTGTGCATAAATGCCTGATAATAATGGAGGGAGCAGTTTTTTATTAATGATATTACTAATGAAATCATTATTTTTTACAGATTGAAAATTATCAAATAAACATACCCATTTTCAAACATTTGGACTAGATATGCTTCAGCAGCTAATTTAAAAAAAAAATTACAATATAAATTATTAAGGTGTGCAACCTTTTAAGAAAATCAAAACTAATTAATTTGTTAATCAACTGATATCAAATATCCCAATAAATTATTATATAAATTCACAAACTCATATATATAGAGCAGTGTTGGCAATGACAGTTATTTAACTTTTGAACTGTCAGTTAAATAACTGGTTCAAAAGTTAAATAACCAGTTCA